AAGGGGTATGTTCAGATGCTCGAACGCCGTTGCTGATATGAGGTTGAGCTCGGATCCAGTGTCGATCATGGCTGAAAGGTTAGTGTCCGCTATTTTGGCCTCAAAGCGTCCCGTTGTCATTGCGAACAGCCGCGTTGGACGTACGGATACCGAGTTCGCATACCTACCTATGATTGTCTCCGCATCTTCGCCCCATCTTAACGAGAGGTACGCATTGCGCGCGCCTTCGATCTGATCACTGTCAGCTTCCATATACTCACCATACTTAGCCGCATACTCCCGCCGTGTTTTGGTCAGGTTCGCGAACCGTTTCTGCAAGTCTGCCGAAGATGCCAGCAGTTCTCGGAGAGGCAAAGTGATTGGTGTGTCGAGTATGGTCTTCTGTACCTGTTCAATATTCACCGATTCCTGCACATCAGAAGTAAACCGATAAGAAGGAGTCTTAGCCTTAGGTGCTTTAGAGGAGCTGCTCTGCATCCCGACGTCACTGTCATCAGCGACAGAGGCTGCCGGTGGTTTGCGCTTTGCTACAGGTGCTTTCGTGGCCAGTGCTTTCTCTACTGTCGGCGGTGTAGATTGAGCTGGAGGTCGCTCCGGGTGTTGGACTGTAATGGAAGGCGGCTGCCCCTTCCCGGAGATCTTGAGCTTGATTCCTGTTGCTTTGCCGTCATCTTTCTTTGCCAGAGGATCGAAACGGACGTCCTTCTTCGGAGTACGTGCCGCAGGGTAAGAGTAAGCGTCCTCGTCATCCGAGAAGGGGACTGCTATTGCATATACTTCACCCGTTAGGACGTCTTCTCCTGTATCTGAGATGACGCCGACGTTCATGCTTTGATGCGGGGGCGGATCACGCTCTTTGCCCCGTGCTGCTCGTCGCTCTGTCCGTAAAGCGTTAGCCACACCTCCTGTTCCTGGTCGTACCAAGGGTAAGTCCGAGCCGTCTATTCGCACCAACTTGCCCTGCGAGTAGCGGAGGAGGCCTTCCTCGACAAGCTTGTCAGCTTCCGGGCAGTTCCTATAGCCAACCCTATGAGAGTCAGTGTCACAAATCCAGCAGATCCGCCTTGTTTGCGCCTGCCGTGCCTGTTCTGCCACCTGTATTCGCAACTCTTCCATCTGCTTTGTCAGAGCGTCGAGAACATTCTCCTGTGATTTGCCGGATGGACCAGGTACCACAGAGTCCGGTGTTGCCTTTACTCGCGGATTGGAACTCTTCTCCTTGTCTTTGCGCTTCTTCTTGGCAGGTTCGTCATCGCGTTCTTCATCTGTGCTGACCTCGCTGTCGTCCTCATCGTCTGTGTCCAGATAATCTTCATGGTCCGACTCCGCATCAATGTCATCTTCGGAGTAGAGCTTGCGAACGAGCATAAGGACGTCCGCCATTGCTGGGGCGCTGGATGCCGTCGTGGACTTCAGGTCTTGTCGAATTCGCAGCTTGACCTCCCGTGGAAGTCCTTTATAGAAGCGCAGGTTGATCTCATTGTCCGTGATGAGGTTCCTCCGCTTGAGCTCGCCTGACATGGCCAGAAACTGTCGAGTATACACATCGAGGTCCTTCCTAGAGCGAAAGCTTTGTGTCTTTGCACTGTCAGCTACAAACTCGCGAAGCTTATCTGCAGTCACCCGTCGCCGCTTGTCATTCGACTGGTATAGCTCCGTGAGAGCAGCCTTAGCGATGGCCCAGTCACTGCCCTGAAACTCTGGCAGATGTTCTATGACATCCCGAACCTCTTGTACGCAGTAACGCGGCAACGTTCGGGGCCACTCCGTATTCAACACCCCAGCGTTGCGAGCAATTGCTTCGAAATCTTCAAGAAAATCATCTAACGACGTACCTTTAAACCTCGGAGCATGCTTCGAATGCGGCCGAGGCATTGGTGAGTAGATCACCTGCCTCGAAGGGTTGCGCCCGTGTTGAGGCGGCGACTGACCTGTTCCCGACATGATGACAGTATGGAGACGTTAGTATGTAACACCACAATTGCACACCCCCTGCGGTGGTCACCAGTTGTCGTAGTGGGGGTTTTGTGCTCGTGGGATCGGAACCCGGGTGTTGTCGACGTTAGTACAGCCTCCTCGTGGACTGAGAGTTCGGGATCAGATTAGATAGAATAGCCCCAGCGCTAGCTGAGACTGGAAGGAGTGAATCGCGAAGAGAGGATCGCGTACCTGGAGGATTTCGTAGACTTTTGAGGAGGAGCGAGAGCGTCGCCAAGGATCCAGCAAAGGTTCGAATATTAGATTAAGAGAATTGTGAATTGCGCGTGGTTCGCTGGCTCGTACAGGCCCATTTCTTCTCCCTATATACCCGTAACCTAGAAGTCTTCACATGAAGCAGTCCAGTACATGCATATCAGTCGTGGTGTGCCGGGAAGGAACAGTACCATCGCTAAACATCGATGC